ATACTGCATAGACCCATCCATACCATATCACTCAAACTCCAACAGGCTCATTCTGTTGGAGTTCATCAGGTTTGGTACAGTGACCTGCATGTACAAGTACATAGACAAGTACATGAACCTGTTGGATTTTGTGAGGTTCAGTATGCTTTCTAGTGCAGGAGCCTAGGGGGTTAGTGTTAATGATACAGCATGAGGGTTTGGACAAATTTCAGTACTTGATGTGAATGAGAGAAACAGTAAAAGTGCAGGTGCATGTACTCTCATAAAAATCTGGTTTAAGTATGAGAATTGTAAGGATGTATTTAAACCCTAGTACTAAAGTTGGAAGATTATACATCTTCAAGTCTACGGGGCAAAAAACAAAATGACGCAAAACACAAATATGCAAAATACATGTACATGACTCTTTAAAAGCCAGGATCCAAAGAAAGATACACCGTACCATATGTCTTCGTACTGGAAAAAAATTCTGACATGCCCGACAGAGACACAGCCTTTTGCCAATTAACATAGAATTTTCTTATCCGAAAAAGCAGCTGGAGAGGGTTTGTTCACCCACAACTTCTTCCACGTTGCAATTGTGCTTTAACCCAACAAAGCAAGATGCTTTACTACGTCAACCGTGAAAATGAAAAAAGGATTCTCAAACAAATAGGGAAATTATATGTGTTTACACGTCATCCGGGATCAAGTGGTGAAGTCGAAATTTGCTGGAGGTTTGTCAAGACCCCAGCTCACACAATCCAGCCAGTCACTCAACTTCAAGTGGGCAAGAATTCCAAGCTGACCGTCCAACTAGCGGTGCTGGCTTTGCCAACTGCAACTTCGGCGGCCATGGCTCAACCCGTCAACAGACACAACAAATCAGCTAGGCATAAGTGTGCTCTTAAAGACGTAAGAAATGCTACAAACATGCATTGTTACAGTCCTCATGCACTATAAGTTCAAAAATCACATCTTTAGTGAGCTCTCTCCTGAGCACATCTTCGCTTCACCTTTAAGAAGATCTTGTCTTTGAGGCTGCGCCTCGATCAATTTTAAACACAGTGAAAGACGTGTTATACACACAAATGCTCGACAGCCCAGACACATCCATTGCTGATGTGGTCTCCTCTTCCCCACCGCAGTAATCTCGAGCGTTTGTCTCACGATAGCACATCTCCCCCGACATTGGGGGGGAAAAAAAGGAAGTTACAACTCGAGTTGCCTTGAATAGAACCTTCCAGATTAGGAATTCAAATGCCTCTACTGAGAGCATTATCCTCTTTCAACAAGGGGAAAAAAAAGGAGGGAAGGGGGAATCTGCAAATCTACTGAGCATTTGTCTAAGATGCTGGAACGATTGATTTTCACCCCCGTTTCACCTGTCTGAGTGACAGCTAGTGGAGAGGCCGGCAGACCTTGCATAAAGCCTATTTGTTTACCTCTCGGGTTTCCCTGGCTACTCGGAGTACCGATTCCACACCCCATCAAGAAAGCAATCTCGTTCCCTCGTTCCGAGGTGGGCGGCTTGAACATGATGTTTCTTGTCCCGGCACCCATCGTTCGCTCTTGTTGAGCGATACTCTACACGTGCGTGGTACAAGTACCAGTACATGATTCTCTCTCCTCTCCTTCCCCCCCCCGGACATCTCTTAGGTTTGCAAAGCCGACTGGAGAAGCCAAAGTGTGAATACGATGGGTAAATATTTTGACCAGACACCGAGCAGGTGGCAGCTCCTGAGGGAACGCAACCCGCACTCAGACGGACAAACACAAATGCAAACAATAGACAGAACTAGGGACAGCAATAACTCAACACCTGAATAAAATGACAGCCCATACGTGATCCGTACATGCCCTGTTCGGAATGAAATCTCAATCTCAACGGTGATTTGGCAGTTGGCATGCTGAAGGGTCTCCCTTAACAGGCTCTTGAGGGCGCTACACACAGTTCTCCCTGTGGAGGTGCAGTCTGGGCCAAGTTCAAACGATGACCACTTTGTCAACCTCTGGTTGATTTTGCCTGGTGCCCAGGATGTATCTTGCGCAGCGGTCACCTGGGAAAATTGACCAGTGGTCGAATAATGGCCGTGGCTTGAAGTTGCCCCCCAGTTGCAAAAGAGATCAAGTTTAGCCAGAACGTCCCAGGGTTAATAACCATGACTATTACAGTTATCTATGATCCAAGTACCTCAGTGAGGGTCAGTTCAGTTTAACCTAGCCCCTGGGGTGTACATGTATGTAAAATTACATTAAAATCAGAGGGTTTGGGACTGTTAGGGATAGCTGTATTCTATAGAGTCCTGTTTTGAACAGGACTACATTTTTTTTGTAAATAGTTGCCTTGCTGATCATTAAAAACCTCCATTTTTGTGTGCCGAACTGACATTTTTGAAAGGGCATCAGGGGTGCTTAAACACTTTTCAAGGGTCCACTCAAAGCAAATTAACTATGGCTTTTACATGTACAGTGTACATGTAAATACACAGGTATACATGTATGTTCATGTAGATTGTGAGCATTTCAAACTTTCCAATGAGGAAAAAGGGGACCTGTGCGTACAGACTTCCCCGGGGGAAGGGGCAACTTATGGAATATTGCAACTACAAACTAAGGATCTGATGCAAATGACCTGCTAGCCATACGGATCAATTTTTAACCATCAAACATGTAGGATAAACAACAGACAGAACAACAGAGGTTTGCAAAGTGCAGACAGCAACAGCCTCGAAAGTTTTAGGAAAAACGTGATTTAGAGGATTTGGGATAAATGTCATCATGCATGAATGAAAACACGTATGCATGTACGTCTGTACAAGGAAGCCATAACCGAAAATTTAGACGGAAAGTGCATTCACAGTGTATAAAGTAAATTGCCCTAAAAGAACATGTGTATGTACAGGTACATGCATAATATGGCAAGATTATTCACATGACCCAAATACCCAGTCACCCCTTTCTATTATAATGGAATCTACCTGTACTTTAAAAAGTCAAGAAACTTTTATGCAAGCCCTAATTTCATTGGCAGTTCTATAACTGCTAACGAGTGCATACTGGTACACTGTGCGGCTTTAGAGGTGAAAAAGTCCGGCAAAATTTTGTGACCGTAAGTAACATTTTGACAAAATTAACAACTTTCGTTTCTGCGTGGGTTCACGTTTTCCCTTAAAATTCTTCAAATGGCCCTCCCCCGCTGCAAATTGCCACTAATTATGAATTATTCATGAAGCCAGGCGGCAGCTTTGGACTTTGAATACATGACAGGAAAAGAAAAATAAGTTGCTCACATATGCGCACCACAACTTTAACAAAAAAAGTAATTGTCACTTGTCATTCATTCCCCTGCGGCGGAAATTTCACAGGCTGCATTTTGACAAAATTGTTTGATGGGAAAGAGCTGAATTATTGAGGCCAGAGTGCCTCTCACCGCCCAAGGGTTTCCAAAGCTGGAATTTCAATTGTGGGAGAAAAATTAAAAGAAGGCAGCCCCATCTCAGGTTTTTTCCTCCAACATCTCTTCATTTTTCACAGGGAAACACTAAGGACCACCAAAATAGACTGAAGTTGTCATTATTCAACGGCAGACTTTTTTGGTAGATGTTGATAACGCTATGTCCATTGATTGCCACTAAGACCACATACAGCGAAATTCAATCAACATGACAAATCACAACTGCACGTCACAATCAATCTCTCTCATGTCAAGAGCACAAACTGGAGGAGGTTTTTCTGGGGGGAAGGGAAGGGGGGGAGGAGATAGAACCGCATGCCCGGTGAATGTGCTGATCTGGCATTAAAGCCGGTTCTTGTCAAGAAAAAAAAAAAGTCCAAGCTCGTGTGTCTGGAATACAATACATCCTAGTACATGAATGAGTGCATTGCGTCAAAGTCATAATGTGCTGCAAGCTGCATTAGGGTGAATCGTCCTTCATCCAGTGGCAGAACAAGACAAAGACATCACGAGACCTAGAAAATCGGCAGGCGGAAAATTGCATTTCTTCTTCTGACATTTTTTGGGCCCAGTGGAATTCCATTAGGGCTTCAAGCAGCAACAAAACAAATCGCATTGCAAATGTTGGTG